TATATTGCCTATACTGCACTTTTTTTTATACCTAGAATTTTGTACTTCCTGATCCCCTTCATCTATTTTGCTCATCCCCACTCACCTCCCCTCTGGCAACTACCAGTTATACATATGTAAGAATCTGTGTTTTTGTTTATTTATTTGTTTTTATTTTATTTTTTTTAAGATTTTATTTATTTACTTGAGAGAGAGAGAGTGAGAGACAGAGCATGAGAGGGGAGAGAGTCAGAGGGAGAAGCAGACTCCCTGCTGAGCAGGGAGCCCGATGTGGGACTTGATCCCAGGACTCCAGGATCATGACCTGAGCCAAAGGCAGTCACTCAACAAACCGAGACATCCTGGTGCCCCTTTGGTTTATTTTTAGATTCCACATTTAAGTGAAATCATATGGTATTTGTCTTTCTCTGTCTGATTTATTTCACTTAGCAGATACCCTCTAGGTCCATCCATGTTGTCACAGATGGCAAGATCTTTCTTTTTTATGGCTGAGTAACATTCCATTTCATATATATTCCACATCTTTTTTTCAAGATTTTATTTATTTATTTGACAGAGATCACAAGTAGGCAGAGAGGCAGGCAGAGAGAGAGGAGGGGAAAGCAGGTTCCTCACTGAGCAGAGAGCCTGATGCAGGGCTCGATCCCAGGACCCTGGAATCATGACCTGAGTTGAAGGCAGAGGCTTAACCCACTGAGCCACCCAGGCACCCCCATCTTTTTTTTTAATGGATGCTTAGGTTGTTCCATATCTTAGCTATTATAAATAATACTGTAATAAACATAGGGGTGTATGTATCTTTTTGAATGAATGTTTTCATTTTCTTGGTAAATAGTGGAATCACTGGATCATATTTTTTTTAAGATTTTATTTATTCTTTTGACTCTTAATATTTCTACTTTTAATTTTCGGAGGAACCTCCATACTGTTTTCCACAGTGGTTGCCCCCATTTACATTCCCACCAACAGCATGTGAGGGTTCTCTTTTCTCCACATCCTCACCAACACTTGTTATTTCTTGTCTTTTTGATATTAGCCATTCTGACAGGTATCAGGTGACATCTCATTATGGTTTTAATTTGAATTTTCCTGATAGTAAATGATGTCAAGCATCTTTTCCTGTGTCCACCGTCTATAGGTCTTCTTTGGTAAAATGTCTATTCAGGTCCTTTGCCCGTTTTTTAATCAGATTGGGGTTTTGGCTGTTGAATTATGTATGTTCTTTATATATTTTGTATTAAGCCCTCATTGGATATGTTATTTACAAATATCTTCTCTCATTCACCGGGTTGCCTTTTTGTTTTGTTGATTTTGATTTGATATCCTTTGCTGTGTAAAAGGTTTTTATTTTGTTGTAGTCTCAAGTTTATTTTTGCTTTTGTTTCGCTTGCCTAAATAGACATATCCATAAATATGTTCCTAAGGCCAATATCCAAGAGATTGCACCTATGCTTTCTTTTAGGAGTTTTATGGTCTCAGGTCTCACATTTAGGTCATTAGTCCATTTGAGTTTATTTCTGCAAATGATATAGGACAGTGGTGCAGTTTCATTCTTTTGGCTGTAGCTGTCCAGTTTTCCCAACACCATTTATTGAAAACGCTGTCTTTTCCCCCGTTGTATATTCTTGCCTCCTTTGTCATAGATGAATTGACCACATCGGCATGGGTTTATTTCTGGGCTCTCTATTCTGTTCCATTGATCTATGTATATCTGTTTTTGTGCCAGGGCCATACTGTTGGTATGGAATTATGAAATCTGGAATTATGGTACTTCCAGCCTTTTCTTATTTCTCAAGATTGCTTTGTGTATTTGAGGTCTTTTGTAGTTCCATACAAATTTTAGTGCTTTGTGCTCTAGTTCTATGAAAAATACTATTAGTTGTTTTGGTTTTTTTTAATAGGAATTGCATTGAATCTATAGATGGGTTTGAGTATTATGGACATTTTAATAACATTAGTCCTTCCAATCCATGAGCAAGGTCTATCTGTTTATATCATCTTCAATTTCTTTCATCAATTTTATTGTTTTCAGAGTACAGATCTTTCACTTCCTTGGTTAAATTTATTCCTAGGTATTTTATTTTTTCTGGTATAGTTGTTTTCTTAACTTCTCTTTCTGCTACTTCATTATTAGTTTAGAGAAATGCAGCAGATCTCTGTATATTGTTTGTATCCTGTGACTTTGCCAAATTCTCTTATCAGTTCTAATGGTGTTTTGGTGGGGTCTTTAGGGTTTTCTATATACAGTGCCATTGGTGAGAGTTTTTCTGCAAATGGTGAGAGTTTTGCTTCTCCCTTACCAATCTGAACACCTTTTATTTCTTTTTCTGTCTGGTTGCTGCAGTTAGGATATTCAGTACTAGTTGAATAAAAGTGGTGAGAGTGGACATTCTTGTCTTATTTCTGATCTTAGAGAAAAAGCCTTCAGTTTTTCACCATTTAGTATGATGTTAGCTGTGGGTTTTTCATATATGGCCTTTATTATTTATATGTATATATGTATATGATGTATATTCCCTCTAACTTTGTTGAGAGTTTTTATCATCAACAGATACTGTATTTTATCAAATGCTTTTTCTACAGCTGTTGAAATTATCATATGGTTCAGGGCTTTTTTGATTGCTGATGGAAGTTTTTTGGTTTCTGACACAGTCTTTTTCTTTAGCTTGGAGAAATTTGACTATTTAGACTTGTTATGACTTCTTCAATTAGTTTTTATTGTCTCTGCTCCCGTATTTATTATTTCCTTCTTCTCCTTACTTTGCGTTTAGTTTCTTTTTTTCCAGTTTCCTCAATGTGGAAATTTAGGTCATTGATTTTAGATCTTTCTCCTGCATCTGGGCCGTATGTTCTTGTTTCTTTGTATGCCTCAGAATTTTTCGTTGAAACCTAGACATTATGAATCTTATCATGTGGCAACTCTAGAAATCAGATTCTGTCTCTTCCCCACAGATTTGTTGTGGTTACTTTGTTGTAGTTGTTGTTGTTGAGTGACCACTCTGAACTAGTTCTGTAGTGTCTGTTCTTTATTATGTGTGACTATTAAAGTCTCTGCTCCTTGAGCTAAGGGGTCGGCTAAGGATTAGAAAGCTATTACTGAAATTCCTTGAATCAGAAAATCTCCCAGTCCTTGCAGAGAGGGGCTTTGAGTTGGGGCATGTCTGCAGAGTCAACCAGGCAGTTTGCTGCTCTGCCTTAGCGATCACAGTCACTGATTGCTTGGTCAAAGCCTCAAGGTCAGCTAGAGGCCTTCTCATTTCTTTCCTGAGCACGCACAGAACCCTGGGCCATGTGCATGAGCTTCTGAACTCCCAGGAGTATGTCTGCACTTTTTACACCCTTAATCCCCCAAACATCTCCTTCTCCAGACTTCCTCCAAGCTTTTTGTTTAGTCTACTATTTGCCCTGTTATCCGTTGCTTCAGACAGCAACAATTAAAACATTTGCCTGTAAATGTTTTCCACAACAACTTCAGCACCAGGTACATTCCCAGTTTGGTGAGACAAAGACAAGCCTTTGAGCCAGTCTTTCCAGGGAGCCACCCAGAGAGACAAAATAAATAAATATATTCTGCTCCCTCTGGTACTATTACTGAGAATGTAAGCTGTTATTTTCAAGACAACAGCTGAGCTGGAGAACAGTGGATGAAACAGGGTAAGTTAAGATGCCACAAAGCTCACTATTCTTGCCAACATCCAGCTGGTTTTCTTGAATAAGTACTTTCCTGGTTGCTGCAAGCTTTTAGTTAGCTTTGAGTTCTAAGATAGTTGATTCTCATAGTTGTTGCCTGTTTTTCCACTGACTGTACAGATTGGGGAGAGTTTCAGAGTTCCTTACTTCACCATTTTTGCTGACATCACTATAGTATTTTCTTTTTTTTCATTAGGATTTTGCTTTAATGATTAAGTTTAAGGAATTGCAGTAGGGTTAGTTTTTTTGGGGTTTTTTTTTTTAAAGGTTTTATTTATTTATTTGTCAGAAAGAGAGCGTATAAGCAGGGGGAGTGGCAGGCAGAGGGGAGAGGGAGAAGCAGACTCCCGCTGAGCAGGGAGCCCAATGTGGGACTTGATCCCAGGACCCTGGGATCATGAGCTGAGCAGAAAGCAGATGCTTAACCGACTGTGCCTACCAAGCATCCTGGGTTAGTGTTCTAAACATAAGGGAAATATTCGGGGGCCTTGTTGTGTGACTGAAAACTATAAAACCTGTACCTGAAATGGGATATTTGTGCTTTTTATGTGTAGTCTTCTAAATGCTTCCTAAAACTTAGAATTAATTTTGACCCTTGTGCAAATATATAGCAGTCAAAAAGTCAGAGAGAAGTATAACAGAAAAAGAGAATCTAAAAATGTGGAAAAGGAGGGGTGCAAGGGGCACCTGGGTGGCTCAGTTGTTTGAGTGTCCGACTCTTGATTTCAGCTCAGGTGTGGTTGTAGGATCAAGCCCCATGGTGCTGGGCATGGAGCCTGCTGAAGATTCTCTCTCCTTCTCCCTCTGCCCTTCCCCAACTCGTAAAACACACACACACACACACACACACACACACAATGCGAGGCAAATGGAAACCAAACATTGGTAGATGAATGAAGGCACATTCTTCATATGTCTACCCCAGTGTCTGTAGGAGCATATAACGAGAGGAAAAGACAAGCTTGGAGAAATTTGACTCATTTACAGTGAGGGTAGAGGAGAAGCTTATAAGGAGGTAGAGAGGAAGCCCAGTGCTGTCAGTAGGCTGCAAGCCAGGGAGCGAGTGACAACACCACAGCTGTGAACATCAAGTCAGCAACCTTGTTCATAGCACTGGCATGGTGCTAGAGCCATTTTTTAAAATTTAAAACTGAAATATGGTATTTCTTTACATAGCCATACATATTTAAAGGGGCATGCATTTTAAAATTATATTCTGTCATTTTAAAACCAAATTATGTTGGTTCTTTTTGTTTGTTTTTGGGTGTGTGTGTGTGTGTGTGTGTGTGTTTTGTGGGTTTTTTTGGTAGCAAGGAGCTGTACCTCCAGCCAGTTCCGTTCCTCCTGTTGCCGGGGCCCCATCTGTTGGACAGCCTGGAGCAGGGTTTGGAATGGTGAGTGACAACCTGCGCTAGAAATTGTAACTGACATTTCTGAGGCCTTTGCCAAATCCCAGATTAACAAATACAGCTACAGAATATAATTCTTCCCCAAATGCAGTAATGTAAAATTTAAAAAATAAAGTCATCTATGTTAGACATTAAAAAGTCTGCACATTACATGATAAAGTCAGCTATAAAATACTTAAATTCTGTCATCAAAATGATTTCTGTAGTATATAATTTTGTCATTTTTGGAGTAGTATTTACCAAACACATTCTTAGCTCAATCATCAAAAGCAACTCTTAATCACTATACTAGGACTTTTCATTTATCACTTTTATCACTACCAAATTTTAGAATCAGTTTCCATAAATAAACAAGGTTTTACCTCCTCAGAATCATGCTCACAGAAGACAAATAATCACCAGCAAAGCATGGTTGGGAGAAGGCTGATAGGTGGTCAGCCAGACTTCTACTGTACCACCAGAGATGGTGATTCTCTGCCATCTGTCAGCCTCACAGCACCCATTGTTCAAAATTACAAGTTATACTTTCTCACAGACCTGCATTCCTCACAAATTTTCAGAAACATCAAAGACTTCAGTGTCCGGGCATTCCCATAGTGGATTCCACTCATGCTGTGAACCGCTCTTCCTTTGCAGCCTCCTGCTGGGACAGGCATGCCCATGATGCCTCAGCAGCCAGTCATGTTTGCCCAGCCCATGATGAGGCCACCCTTCGGAGCTGCGGCTGTACCTGGCACACAGGTCAGTTTTTTAATGTCCTTAAAATAATAACATTATAGGTATAAAACTGCCATGTGGCAAACTGTTTAAAAATGTTTTTACCTGATATAATCCTCCTATCTGTTACTTCAGAAGGAAAGAGGGAACATGGAAGACAGATTACCAATAGTGTGAGGTTCAGAGGAAAATGATAGCAATAACTCACTCTCCTAAGTCCCTCCATCCTTCTCCTACTTAATTCAGAATAGTTCCTGAGGACAGCTAGACGTTTGAAGTATCTGTGCATTCAGTCCAGAGAAATGAGTACTTTTGACCCATAGTTTTATCATGTGTTCCCAGAACCTTGTAGCCAAATTCAAGGTTAGGGACACTGTCCTCCAGGCTGCCCACTGTGCCCAAGAACTGTGAAGCTAACAGCAACGAGTTTGCCAAATGGCAGAGTCTAAGGGAGCAGTCCCTACAAGACTCTGCGCACCTCAGACAACAGCCACAAGTCTGGGAGTCCCGACGGCTACCCCTTCACTTCAGACCAGCTGCCTACAGATTTGCAGGTTCTCAATAGCCTACGACAACTTACAGAACTCAGGAAGGCATGAAATTTATTACAGTTTTATTAGAGTGAAAGGATACAAATTATATCTAGCCAAAAGAAGAGAGGTGCAGGGTGAAGTCTGGAACTGGGAGGGTTCCAAGCAGGAAAGTTCTTTGTCTTCAAGGATGTGTTACTCACCTGGCATCCATGTGTAACAATACAGATGCAGTGTTGCCAACCCAGGAAACTCACCTGCACTTCAGCGTGCAGAGTTTTTATTGATGTTTCCTTATGTAGGAATGATTGACTGAATTATTGCCCGTGTGGTTGAACTCAACCTCCAGCTCCCCAGGGTCTCTCCAAGTCAGGCTGATACCACTTGGCCCCAAGATTTAACACTCTCATTACATTGTTGGTCTTTCTGGTGGGCTAGTCCCCACCCTGAGGCCTCTTGTTAGCATAAACCATCAGGTGGTTCCAGGAACCCACCCTGAATAACAAAGACATTCCTATCACTCAGGAAGTTCTGAGGGTTTAGAGGTTATCTACCAGGATCCAGGACAAACTTCTCTTAAGATGAGGCTGAATTTCTTACTATGAAGAGGGTAAAACATACACTCTGTTGAACTGTTTTGCTGCTTATAGTGATAGTCATGCCCATGAGTAACCAGTTCTTGATTCCTCTTGTAAATTGCCTAGCCAAAAACTGTTTTAAGGTGGAGGTGTAGGTAGAACCAAAGAGGTTTTTATCATAAGAAACTGACATGGATGGAGTCAAAACACCACGTTATGATTTTACTAGGACCATGCCCAGCAAACCAAAACAAAAAACTCAAATATATTACAATGGTATCAGTAAATGGTTTCACTTCTGAAATATTTTTTGTGAAGATTTATTTTTTTATTTTGAGAGGGGAGGGGAGGAGAAGGGGTAGAGGGAAAGAATCTCAGACTCCCTGCTGTGCAGGACTCGATCTCACAACCCAGAGATCATGATCTGAGCGGAAATCAAGAGTCTGCTGCTCCACTGACTGAGCCACCCAGGGACCCACTTCTGTGGTATTTTTTACTCACCAAATGGGTGTTTATATTGTTATCCACAGGATTCCTACTTTAAACTTTCTGAGTTTTGCTTCCTTTAATCATCTCCAAAATCTATTGTCTGCCTCTTCCCAAATCTTACTTTGGCTTCTTTACATTAACCCTTCGAAAGCCACAGTGACCAGAAGAGACAATGGTAGGTGTTCAAAGAGATAGATTTAGAATGTGAGAAACCCTAGCCTTCAAGGCTATACTCAAAGCACTGGCTTCATGAGAAATTTTCTAGTCTCCTCTGAGACTAATGAACCCTGCCTTTTATTGTTTCTGAGGGGGGTGAGGAAGGTTTGGGGGATAATCATGGGGGTTAAATTTAATCTAGATATACTTAAAATTCTAAGGATCTCATTTACTATGAATGTTTCCTTGATGGTTAAATAAATCTATGATTATTTAAGAGCTTTTTGAAAAAAGGCTGGACATTTCTATTTTTATTAATTTAGAAGAATAATATTAAGGTTTTTAAAATCTTACTGTATTTTGTGCACTAAGAGCTTTAGGAATAAATTAACACAATTTTATTAAAGTAGCTATTTTCCTTGTATGATATTAGTGTTATGTAGCATCAGTTTACTTAATTCAAAGAATGAAAATGAAACATAGATAATATGATGAAAACAGTGTGTTAAACATTTAATTGAATTTATCATGATTTAGGAAATGGTATGCCATATTTATAAAAGTTTTAGATTACATGGGGCGCCTGGGTGGCTCAGTCAGTTAAGCATTTGACTCTTGATTTGGGTTCAGGTCTTGATCTCAGGGTTGTGAGATCAAGCCCTGTGTCAGGTCAGACTCCACACTGGGTGTGGAGCCTGCTTAAGATTCTCTATTGCCCTCTCTCTTTGTCCCTCCCTCCCTCTCTAAACAAGACAAAACAAAACAAAACTTAAAGTTTTGTATTTCCTATATTAGAGAAGCAGCAGAGGTGACTATACTAAATAGTAAAATAAATAGGACTTTATAACTTCAGAATACAAAATACTGTTGTACTGTTTACCATTACTGATGCCTAGACTAGTCCACTACATCTCAGTTGATTGGTATCATCCTTAATGATGTTGTCATCTCACCAAATGATTAATGATGAATCAACTCTTAAGTTTCTTTTTTTTAAGATTTTGTTTATTTGTCGGGGTGGGGGGGGAGCACGAGCAGGGGGAGTAGCAGACAGAGGGAGAAGCAGTCTCCTCGCTGAGCAGGGAGTCCAGTGTGGGGTCCCAGAACCTTGGGATCATGGCCTGAGCCAGAGGCAGACACTTAACAGACTGAGCCACCCAGGCATCCCTCAATTCTTTAGTTTCTTACCTTCCAAACCACTTTAACCCTTGCATTTATCTTTTCTGATCTTTCTATAAAGAATGATTCCTATTTTTAAAAATGGAAATTTGATTGATAGGTAGTACAGTCAGTAGTTTCTGGACATGGGAACAAATCTAAAAATCTTTCTCGAGCTCTGTTTGCTGAACCAATAAAAACGTACATTGGTACCCCCATAATCCCACATTTCTGGGATTTCTATAAGGTATAAGCATAGGAGAGGAATAGATGCAAAAGATCTGTGTCAATTATTACTCTATACAGATCACATGACCTTTTTCAAGCCATCATTGCCTAACACTCTTGCAGAAGCCTGTTTCCAAAGCTTATGTCTGTCACACAATGAAATAACTTAAGTATTAATTAAACAGAAACAAGGTAAGTTAATTCTTTGCTGCTTTTGCCAGCAAGTGTAATATGGTTCTTTCCTATAACATTTAGTAATTAGTCTTCTTTGTGAGCTGGACAGGAAATATTGGAATTTAGTGACATTCACACCTGGGAAACTCTATCCCATTTGAAATAAACAGTGCCTCCAAACTTGACCAGTTTTCACTTAAAACACTTCATGTAAAATTCACTATATTTAGCTAATAATTTAAAGTAATTTCTTAAGTGATTTTCTGTAAGTTATTTTCTTTCAAAAGTTTTTCCCTCAAACTCACTCTCGCTATAAGGAAGAGTCATTAGAATTTCTTTATTAGTTTAATAGTACTAATAACTCAAAGTAAAAATGCTTTTGTGTAGAGCAATTGATTGTTGTGTTATTGTACTCTATATTCATAATATCTGAATATGACTAGTTTGATACATCGTCCCTAATTCGTATCCATATGGTTGTGCCAGAGTCCTCAAATATTACTTTGGCTAGATCTGATGTCGAAGAATTTCAAGAAAGCCAAAGATCATTTAAAGTGTACTTTATGAAACCAAAATTAAACAACACTATCGCTGAGTAGAACAAAGTAGATTTTGTAAACCTTTAGCCATCTCATCTTCTGCATGTTTGTTTTCTGTGGTATGTGCTCTGCCTAATGCTTACCTGTCTCTCTGTTTGATTTCTGTTTCTGCTGTCTTGGGCTGGCTTTTCTGCACTAGCTTTCTCCAAGCCCTACACCTGCCACTCAGAGTCCCAAGAAACCTCCAGCAAAGGACCCATTAGCGGATCTTAACATCAAGGATTTCTTGTAAACAATTTAAGGTATCTAATATTGAGCTTTTCCTGTGGGCTTGTAATAATGACGTTGCAATGCTTAGCTTTTTCAGGTATGGTATTTGTACTTCTATGCTTTGAACACATGTATGTAATAATAATAATAATTTGAGTTGTTCATGCTTTTTAAATCAGTACTAAAAGCCATCAATGAATTATCAATAAATTTTTTTAAATCTTGATTAATTTATAAAACTAAGAGGGAGAAAAGCCTCCAAGTTGTTCTAAGAAGCACAAACATTTTACTGATAAAGCAAAAAGTTGCCCAAGCTAATCGGTAAATTAGGAAATTACCACTGTATTACCTGATGACAGGAATTTATAGAAAGCTAACATCTATTACACTGCATTTAGAAACCATCTAAAAATATATTTGGCTGCAAAACTGTATTTTTTATTTGTTTATCCTTACTTGGCCTCATCAAATAAAGATCAGATTGTTATGCTTTGCAACTTCTGCACTCAAGCAGAGTTTTAAATTTCTAACATTCTAGTTCGAAATTTCTAATATGATTTATGACGCGACTAATAAGTGATTTGGAAGGAAACTGTTAAAGGAAAACAGTTTACTGCTAACTCCAGTCCCTAACACAGTGGGTAGATTCTGAACAAGTACTTGCAGAAAGTGGATAAATAGTAATAATGCAGCTTTTCCTTCACACGGTACTTTTCATACCCACTTCCTCGTCATGAGCTCCTTCGTTCTTCTCAATGGGAAATCAAGCTCTGTGACATAAACTAGGGAGATACTTCTTGTCTCCTTTTCACAGCTAAAGGAACTGATCCTTGGCATTGAGTGCTTTGCTCAACGTCACATATAGAAGAGAGGAGTAAGACTGTCAAAGTTTTGGGACCACTGTCCAATATAATTTTTTTATAATTTTTAATTTTTTATTAACATATAATGTTAATAAATAAATATATTGCCTGGGGGAATATAATTTTTATTATGCATCTTACAACCTATATGTTGTAAGATGTATATGTATATATTTTAACTTTCTGTAATGCATACTAAGATTTTTGTGGATTCCTACTTGATGATTTTTTTTTTCTTATACAAGGTTAATGAGTTTTTCATTTTGAGGTTCTGACATCTCAGTCAAGTAATTCCTCCTTGTGCCTGACTTTTCTATTCCCTTTTGGGTCCGACTGGGCTGGTATAGGCATAAGTGAGACAGGGAGCTCTTCTTAGGTATTACAGGTTCAGAACTGACTAAGGGTACTGCCAGGAGCAGCCCTTTATCCACCTCTGGTTCAGTAAATACTGCTCTCGTCTGTGCTCAGAGCTCTGATAAGCGCTTGAAACAGAGATGCTTGAGATGGCTCCTGCCCTCAGAGGTTCCCAGTCAAAAGGGAGACACAGACTCATTTATGAAAAAGAGTTCCCCACGTGCCTAAGCCTTCACCCCAGGCAGATTCCCTGGCAGAGAGGACTGGTGAAGCAGGGACTGGTGTTCCTGGGGACGGGAGGAGGAGCTGTGATGTTTACAAAGGCGTGGAGTCTCCAAGGTCATCCCCCTCCTTCTCTTCTGTTACTTGTTCAATCGCTGAGTGACTCACTGAACACCATAACTGAAAACAAAAGAAGCCAAAAATAATGAAAATTGCTGCCACCACATTTCCACCCCTGCCTTTTTAAAAAGGTGATCTGTTCTTGTTTAATAGTAGATGTCTCACTCCTGAGATTTCTAGTAATATCTATATTTCAAAATTTTGCCGATAGAATTTTTATCTAAAAAAACTGTACGTTAAGAGTTTTCCTAAAAACTTCTTCCCGTCTGAAACTTTAAGCAAAGAATCGTGACAAGTATATAAATGTGCATTTGTTATAAAGAAACCTTTTGCATGAAGACTCTTCGTAGTAATTATGAGGTAAAATTGCAAGCAAGGTATTATGTTTGAGGAATGTGTAATGTTGTTTTCTAATTCAAGCGCTTTTTATCTTTACAGCTGCAATTTTTGTGACTGAATAGGAAAAAAATAATGAGTTTGGAGACTTCAAGTAAAATTGATGCTCAGAGTTTCAAAGTGAGCCACCAGTACCAAACCCAATGCTTACTCGTAACTTCTCTTCCAAAATGTGTAGCACAGCTGTGAAAGTGAACATTAGGAATGTGTACTACCTTAGCTGTTATCCCTACTCTCAAAATTGTAGTGTATTTGGGTTATTTGTGTGTTGTACGATGTAAAAACAATGAATGGATGTTTCTGATGCCTTTAGTGCTTTTCTGGACCTCGCCCATGGACGGATGACGCAGCTGTTGTATGGTGAGCCATTTGGAAAGACGTGTCTGTGTTTTTGAGGGTTTGATGTACATATGACTTTTGGACAAACCTAAACTCTTCCCATAAATTCTCTTTTTCCCTGTATCTCTGTTACATAGTGTGATAATATCAAATAGTAAGGAAAACACTCTTAAATATACAAAACTTTTTCGGTGTGGAGTACATTTTTCCAATCACAGGAACTTCAACTGTTGTGAGAAATGTTTATTTTTGTGGCACTGTATATGTTCAGAAATTTTGTTTTAAAAAAAATATAAGGGTTAACGTCCATCATAAATATTTCTCCTTGAATCTACCTTATCAAGAATGAAAAAAAATCATATGGAAAGAATTCCATATTTAGTCACTACTATCTTCAAATGTATATTTTGATTATATTTGACAGGTTTTGCATCTAAATTGACCTATTTATTCATTCTTGATTAAATGCACTGAAAAGCAAAGGGTCCATTTCTATCCCGTCCGTGAAAATGCAATTAGAGATGTGCTATTCAAATGATGATAAAGGCACCCCAAGGTATATGTGTAATTTAAAGATTACTGCAAATATTTTTATTTTATTGTGGGTTTTATGTACATCTGTTAATTTAGTATTTCTTTGTGTCTTCTGTAGACTAGTGTTCTTCCATCCCTCAACTGAGCTCAAAGTAGGTTTTGTTGTACCATTGTGATTAGAATTTAAACTAATTCAGAGAATTGTATCCTTTACTGTACATACTGTATTCTTTAATTTTTAATTTGTTGTCATACTGTCTGTGCTGATGGCTTGGCTTAAGATTTTGATGCATAAATGAGGTCACTGTTGATCAGTGTTGCTAGTGGCTTGGCAGCTTTTTGTAAAAACGTATTGGGTTGGAAAGGTGTTTGCCGATTTTTCAAATTATTTAATAGATGTCTGGTACCATTTAAAAGTGGTTGTATCTGAATTTACTGTGGGGATAACATACACTGTAATGGGGAAAAATGACCTGAAACCAATTTCAAAATGGCATTTCTTTCTATTTCAGTTTAAAAACCCAGTGCATGTACGCCCTCTGAGATGCAATAAACACCTTGAACAAAGAAAATGCAAATATAATCTTTCTCTTTTCGGTTATTTTTTAGAGAAAATGTCTGTTTCAAAGGACACACAGCATATACAAAATATTGAAAACTTAGAAACAGTCACAGTGAGAAATGCTGTTCATGCCAACGTAGTTCTGATTATTTTACAATAAATGAAAAACAAGGGGGAGAAAAGAACATTTCAATCAGCTGTCTTTAAACTTGGGACTCCGTGGCTGCCGCCATATTTCAAAAAAGAAAAGGATCAACTTTCTTTTAAATTCTGCAAGTCTTATAATAGTTTTCTAAGAATTCTCCATGAAAGTTGAAGGATTCCAAGACTTGATAGTTTACACACACACACTTGTCTGCCCATAAACTCAGATGTAAAAATCTAGAAAACTGGCTGACTTTATGCCCATAACTCAATTGTGACAATGACTCAAAAGGTAGTCCGCTCTCAAAGAGAAGTGTTTCTCAGCCACAGGCATATCCTTATTTCTAAAACTTTCTTGCCCTTATCTAACTAGGATTTGTATCTCGAGAACTAACTTTCAGAAGCTAGTATCTGGTTATGTATTATGATTTTTGTAGATTACATTTTGGTCATGTACTACTCTGTATGCATTTGTGATAGAAATGTGTTTGAGACTTTAAGTTTTCAGTTTAATATTGGATTTTTAATCAGCTTTTTCTCCTCATTGAATGGCCCACAGGGTATAAATTCCTAATAGGTGAAACTGCAAGAGCATTGTTTTTAAATCGGACGCTCAAGCCTCGGTGGCAGTGAGGTTCTTGGTGGCCCTTGTACAATTGTCATATAGATGAGATGCTGAATGAGTTGCTCTGGGTACTTAAAAAATGAATCTGAATTATTTTCAACATGGGTCCAGGTTAGCCACGATGTCCTTCTGCATGTGAGCCTGCCTTTCTTGCCTCACCTCTGCGTGCATGAGGCTGTGGGCACGTGCACACGGTTCTCTACATCGCCACACCAGTCCTGAGGCAAGGGGACACCAAGCACTTAGCTGGCTCTCACAGGGCCCTCTGCCTGACATGACCTGCCCAAGTCCAGCAGTCCAGCTCAATCCCACTTGTCTGTCATGACTCCTCATCTCACTCTTATCAGCCCTTAAGGCAGTTAACATATCTTATAATCATCTGTGACTATGGCATCTGCTCTGGCCAGTTGTGAGCTCAAAGGCAGGAAACATTGCCAGTTCACATCCTCAGGGACTAGCACTTCCGTGGGGGCTGGGTTAAGTGTCTGCAGGATGAATACCAGTACAGTAGTTCTGAGAGGTGTCCCTTACCTGGACACTGCTGAGCTAGTACCATATTTCTAACTACTGAAGAATAACTCTCCTATGGACATTTATTGTCAAGTGTTAGTAGAGTTTTAATAGCTGTCAGCTCATTCTAATAGAACTAACATCCATTAAAAAGTCTTGAGCTGAAGATTTTGAGTCACTTTTTATTTGGTATAATGATAGCAAGTGATTCCTCCATATTAAAATGTCTCCTTTGTTCTCTTTTATGTTATTTGTTATACTTAAAAAAGAAGAAAAAGAAGAAGAAGAAAGGCCAAAGACTTTTTCAGAGGAGTCATGGGGTTTGCAAGAGGAGGAAAGGAATACACATAAAAAGAAATGGAAAGTCACCGAAAAATAAATAGTGTGAAAGCCTCCTTCTGCCTCTTAGGTAGATACCTTTAATAATATAGCCCCACATTTTTGTTGGTGGAAGAGGGGCATGCTCTGCCAGCAGTGATGATCATAGTGTTTCTTGTATGGAAGTCCTGGTTCAAAATAAAAATCAGTGTCATCTTGGTGGATAAGTCACATTGGTTTCTGTTTTCGAGGCAACAGGTTTTGTGGTAGTTTCTTGTGGATCCTCTTGGGCTTTAAGAAAATTTCAGTTTCAGCCTTGCTGACAGAAAATTTCACTACCACACGCATTATCTGGATCCCCTCTGTGAGAGGAAATGTGAGGGAGCCGTGTTGGGGAGTTAGTGACAAGGTCATTAACCGGAACTAAACCCTCAGAGCTGCAGCCCTGCATCATCTGAGTTCATTTCCGTACATGTGTGTCCAAACAATTCTGAAGCCTAAAGGGATTCTGGAATGGACTCTGTAGTAGGTAACTCTGCATCTCCTTTACAAACTCTGGTTTCACTGCACCTTTGCACTTTCTATTGAGGCCCTCAAAAAGCTCTCGTTTATATGGGTTGTCTGTGTCAATGCTTCTGATGTTAGAAATTAAAATAGAGAAACCTTCAAATGTCTTTAATTCATTTAAAAATAAAAATATTAAGGGCCACTTGGGTGGCTCCGTCCATTGAGCATCTGACTCTTGAATTCGGCTCAGGTCATGATCTCAGGGTCGTGAGATCAAGCCCTCCATTGGGCTCCACACTAACCAGTGAGTCAACATCAGATTCTCTCTCCTCTGTGCCCCCACCTCCCATTTGCTCACTCTGGTCTCGATCAAAACTAAAAAACTGCAACTCACAATTCAACACAGAGCTGGGGGAAGAGTGTGTCAGCTGGGAAAGGGTGTCCAGGCAGGGCACAACACCCACCAGAGTTCCACTCAGTCTCCTAGAGACTCCTTCTTAGAGTTTCCAATACCTGATGATACTTTTTAAGAACCTAAATGGAAGTTGCTGACATGATAATGCTTTATAATGGAGTTAAGTCTGTCTACCTGGAGATCAAAAAGTTTAATAAATATACTTTGTTTGACAGTGATTTCAAAAAAAAAAATTATTTAGTGATGACTGGAGATGGAAGATACTGTCGAAGTTAAATATAACCAGAAGGAACATGACATGGGCAGGTGGTAGCCATCAGGGCTGTGAGAGTGAGATGATTTTGATTAATCACCTATGGCTGCGAGAGACCTGAGCCTGAAGCGGAAGCCAGGCCTGCAGACGGCAGCACCCAGAAGGGTCAGGACACAGAAGGGTCCTACCCAGCCAGGCGAGGGGGAGATAATCATCTTTTCATGATGGTGTCCTCTGCCGTTAGCCCAATCTTGAGTACTAGATTCATCTCCACACATCCAAACATCCCATGGCTCATTGCTCTCTTTCAGAGAACATCTCTGGGGTAAGTCAACTAACTGCATAATTTATAATTGTCTTAGTAAAACCTAAACAGGAAGTAAATTTTACAGCCTGAAAAGACTTATAAGTATATCCCAAGGAAATTTGGAATTTTTTTTTTTTAAACTCTGCTATTTTGGGCCAGCTGGATTTGGCACTCTATTGAAAATGGGAAATGGAGCTGTGACTATGTATGCAATATTTTAAATGTAAATTGAGGGCCAGATTTTTAGAACACCTATCCCTTCTCAAGGAAAAACAAAACCGTGGCTTCAAAGCCAAATTAAAAGGACCACTTAGGGGCACCTGGGTGGCTCAGTGGGTTAAAGCCTCTGCCTTCAGCTCAGGTCATGATCCCAGGGTTCTGGGATTGAGCCCTGCATCAGGTTCTCTGCTCAGCAGGGAGCCTGCTTCCCCCTCTCTCTCTGCCTGCCTCTTTGTGATCTCTGTCAAATAAGTAAATAAAATCTTAAAAAATAAAAAATAAAAGGACCATTTAGTTTTTAGAACAGAGACAAAGGTGTGGTTGCTATGTGA